CTGCGTGATCGCGCCGGTGACCTCAGCTGGAAAACACACGACAGACGATAAAACGGCGCCCTCGATCTTTACGAGCGATCAGACAGGATAACCTCCCGCCCTCCAAGCACTTGATAGGTCCTAGCATGAAATTGATTTCACGACAGGCTGGCCCGTTAATGAAAATACTCGTATCCATCAGGAGCGCTACAGGCGTTAGATAGGTACATCATAAGTGATACATTTATTCGTCATTAGACTATGCTTATAACGGCAATATTCGTTGAGCAGAATACCTAAGGAAAATAATGTAACAAAAAATAAAAGGCTCAAGGCCGACCTAACAAATGAATGTAATATGTAAGAAACATAATCAGCAATCGTCTGAGGCTGGCAAAAGGTGTTGATGAGTGTGGATGACAGCTGAGCTGTACTTCGACTATTTAGAGAGCAATGGAGTACGTGCAGTCATATATGACTGCATCATCGTCATAAGCTTTTTTTACTATCGTTTTTTTTTTTTTTGCTATAAAAAAGGCGTCATCCGCCTACAAAAGGCGGATGACGCCAAAATCAGTAGAGCGAAAGCTCAATTCTTTCTCAACGTGGTCATAGGCGTAATATTGGTACCTATAATTGTACTGCACGCTCATGGGAGTTTTTTTGAAATTTTCGGACACATTCTTCACAACTGCTATCTTTGCATGCGTTCCCTCGTTGAAAGGTGAGTTATTTCTTGTGCCGGCGCGACCATGAACCACCCCGAATGTCAGCTGCATAACTCAGGGGCTGCCCGGGGTGGGAGGGGTCGGTCGGCCTGCCGGTGATGGGTTGGCGGTCCACGCACGAGTCAGATTGGTATCTGATATGAACGCGACCGCCGAATGACCCCGTGTGACCCGCAGGTCACCGCCAGTGGGAAGGGGGCGCAGAGAGGGGATGAGGCGCAGTGCAGCCTTCGATCGCAAGGTCGCGGCAGCGTTCTTCTGTATCTGATTATAATGATTAATGATGGGTGGCTAGCAGAGGCTTACGGGTTGATGAATTTTGAAAAGAATACAATGTGTAACATTCGGATTCCACTGGGCATTCTTACTGTTCATGTTGGTGATTTTTTTGTTCGCCCTTTCGTACTTCCTCGGTATTCTTATCGTTTATCGCTGCAGGCATGACTGTCCCATTTACACACTCCTTATTCGTGAAATAAACAGCTGAGATGCTGAAACAGCAAGAGAGAAAACCGCAGCTAAAAAGCGGCCTTGTATGCGTTGGTAACTACAGCAAGTGATGATAATAAACCAACATCTCAAGGTCCCAACCGTCAACACGATATCACTGCAGTCATTTAGGTCAACTGCAGATTCAGAATACATACGGAGCGCTGGACGGCGCTATCTGTGCTGCTGAGACTCCTTTCAGCAAATGGCCCGCTCCAGCCGCAACTCTCATCAACTCATTGTTGCAAGAGCACGATATTATAATTCATACACTTAAAGGGACCCTCCCACCTTAACATTAGATTTGAGTTGAGATAGCCAAAATGGGGTCCCTGGCTCACATTTACCGGTTTCGGCACTCACAACATCGAGAAATGCCTTAAATCGGAAATATTGAATTTCAAAATTGCAGCATTTTGATTCAGAGGGGCTAATGCTTAGGAATACCCCTCTGAATGTGTGACGTCAGCGCAGATATCTAACGATTTTTAAATGTTTGACTAAAACGTTTTGTAGCACGCGGTGGTATATGCTATTTGCGCGCAACATCTGCCGCAAACGCCGCACTTCTAAAATAAAGTCGCTAGAAACAGCGGAGATCCCAAAAAAGTAAACAAAAGTAAAAGTCTAATATCTTGAAAACCGGTGAATATTTTTCGGTGAAATTTGGTAGATATTCGTTTTCGCTCTTTCTGAACCGAGCGACATCACGTTCATGCCAATTCATAAACTTTTTTGAAGGTGGGAGGGTCCCTTTAATGATATGAACCATGGCGACTCGTCTCATGGACTAAGTAAGGAATTAGGTACTGTCGTGTGCTTTTCATCACATGTATGTATTTCTTTTATCGTCTGCGGATGATGTTTCACCTAAAATAAATGTAGTTATCTCATACTTGCATAATAATACCTATATGTCATAACGTTTCAGCGGCTGGGTGTACGGCCCTCCAGGTATTAAATGGTTGGTTGCCAACATCAAATAATCGATCTGCATTGATGAATACGTCTAATGGCTGTTGAAAACCACTGCCGAAATGTGTGCACGAACCCTCTTTTCATTTCTATTTGAGTCATTTTACAGGAGTGTCCCTGCCATTTAAAGTTATTACACCAAAAGCACATGGGCTAACCATTACCACCCTTTTGCTGGAGGGCCGTACTTACTTACGCTTACCTACCTATATCATAGCCGTCGAAGCCTATAAATCTAAAATGTTTTTCTCCTTCAAATGACTGAGTGTAACGCAGCCTTCTTTAGATAAACACCGATCTATTTTCATTACTCAAGCCGGATATAATTCCCACGGCGCTGTAAAGCACGCAGCTGAGGACCAGGACACGCGACTGGTCCATTACGTTATGATCGGTGCGGGCCGCCCGCGGCGGTAGAGCCGCCCGCCGCACGGTACGCCGATGACGTCAGCGATTCGATCGTTACGTCATCGGTGACAGAAACAATACGCGGTGGTGCGGCAGCTGGCGGCGTCACCGGACATCCAGCTGGTGTAGAAAGGGAAACCGCTCGGCGCTGGGCCGGCCGACGCAAGTGTGGGCCGGACCAGCGAGCCACTGACACTGTCCCCAGCCAGCTACATGCGAATTACAGCCTCTACCGGTGATAGGACGACTTGGAGTCCTGTACACCTGGCTCAAAATACATCGTCGTGTGAACGAACACTTCAAAATTTCCCCAACAACGGGCGTGATAGGCAAATTCAACAGCACAATGTTCCATTGGCTCCCCGTCTACACCTAAACATCTCCGCAGAGGGCGGCGCGGGCGGCACACAATGGCTGCTCTTTGACTGTCAGTGGTGACCCGGTCTGCAGCTCTGCTGTCAAAAGTGTCACCGGGGTGACCTGTCAGGGAGGTCAGCACTGCGTCCGCTCGCGTCGGAGATGTCACAGACTCACAGCCCGCAAATGAACCGCGCCACCGCTCCCAGGCCACACCGACCCCACCAGGAAGAGAGGGAGCAGCGGCATGACGAGCCAGATGTTGCAGATGTTGCGTCAGAGCGCTGCCGCTGCCCGGAAGGCATGCTCTGCTGAATGGCGCTCTGTTTGATATATGCAGCGCGACCTCACCCCGCTCACTGAAAATAACATGGCACGCTCGGATGGGTGTGAGAATGGCGCGCGATGGGGGCTCGCCGGTACGTCCGGGTTCACCCTGTGCCGGTGAGAGCGGGGCCGTGACGCACTGTGCTGCACTCTGCTGCCCCGGCAGAGGCTACCGGAGATGGGCGTGGTAACGTGTTGGAGATAGGCGTGGTGACACTGGGCAAGCTGAGACAGTCGGAGCCCAGAGACATGACGTTGAGTGGTACAGAACATGGGTTTTGGTCGAAGATTTACGGATGAAAATTTGCGTTCTTACATTTGGAAACGGAATTATGAAGGTTGCGACTGTTTTGTTAATTGCTGTCTGTTCTGTTTTGTTAATTGCTGTCTGTTCAGATTTTGTATATGAAGATGTCTTGTAGAAGATGCATATGTAACTAAACATGAACTGAACATAGCATTTTAATGTTTTGGTCAGCTAGCCACGAGATAAAGATTACATAGACTTCACGAGACACCGGCCGTGGCTGACCCATGAAAAGACACTGGCTTAGACGTTCTAGTATTTTCGTGCAGCATTGATTTCCATTTTGATTGGTGCCCCGGTGACCTGCACTGACCTCTGGCCGTCCTGGTCGGCCTATCGGTGCCCGGTCCTCATGACCGGGCCATCCATCAGAGTCGCTGCGGCTGCGGCGGCGCGCCGGGCCGGCTGCCGGGCGGCGCCCGCCGGACCCCGGCAGCGGGATCACGGTCACGTGACCCTGATCCGCGGCCGGGCGCGACCCGGCGTGACCTCGCGTGACCCGGAGCGACCCGCACCGGCGCCGCCCAGGCCGGCGAGGCACGCCTCTTGTGAAATAGACGAGCGCAGACGCACCTGCAGCGCCGTGCACTTACGTCTGTGCGCGAGTCTGTGTCTGTGACTTTGTGTCTGTGTTTCTTTCACTGTATTATAGGAGTTTCAAAGCTTTTCTGTTGGGCCTATGTCCTTGCCCTTCCTTTTTGTCTCCAGCCATCAGGTGTCAGTCTACCCGGAATAAAAGAGAGACAAACCACCGCCGAAAACATATCTTCACCTCGAGATGGTTTCATTGACAGCCTCGTTGCTCATGCGGCATAGCAACTAGATGTCGGTGCCATCAACTTAGCTCTGAAAACCGCATGTTCCCATACGCAAGCCAAGCCAGTGCCGTTCATAAAAGTAGCCCGTTGCATCATTGCAGTCAGATAAACAATAACGCGCATCAAGTGTGAGATTGGAGCCGTATGCGGCTGGTGTTTGTTCTCTCCCTGTGGCGGGGTGGGTTCCACTCCCGCACCTGTCTGGCGTTTACCCCTGACCTGGATACCCTGTGGTCTGTGGTAGCACCCGCAAACAGACCATTGGATGCAGGGGAACTCGGCCATCCGTGCAAACTGTATGACCAGACGGAATTTCGTGAGTCACCTCGTGACTGAAGGTTCAGCTCGTGTGACATGCGTCAGTTAATGTGATACAGTTTATGCATATTGGAAACTGCAGATGTAGAGATATGTATTATGAATATACGATTGTAAAATGTAAAATGGGAGTCGAGGAAGAGGTTTGCTAGACTATCAAATTGGATACCGCGGACAACAAGGGTGGTTGCTCGAGGGGCGAGGGCTGCGCCGGTCCTGTCCTTCAGTTCATACCTACACCGAACTATTCTTGAAAACGGGCTGATCAGCATTTTGAAGACCCTAACTGCTCGTTTATATTTGAAGGGATTGTTTCAGATTCTCAAACCACGCCGTGAAAAATACGGCATACTCTGGATGCTTTTGCAAACACTCGCGAAACTCCACAAACGTAATGCAGTACTCGTTCTGTTTCTCCACCTGGTCGAAGAGCTTGCTCCCCTCCTGTTCGGTCATGTCGAACACGATGTCCATGGCCCTGGTGACGTCACGGCGCGTCACGTGACCCTTCTCGCCGACGTCCATCCTGCGGAAGGCGAGGCTGATGGTCTCCTCGGTGTTGATCGGCCGGACCAGGCGGGTGACGGCCACCAGGTACTCGCGGAAGTCGACCACGCCGTCGCCGTTGCTGTCGTAGAGGTTGAAGACCTCAATCAGCTGCGGCACGGAGGTGGGGATGGCCAGGTGGGCGGCAAAGTCACTCATCCTGATCAGGCCGTCCTCCTTCCGCGCGATGCTGGCGAAGCGGTCCATCTCGGCTTCCACGGTGTCTATGGTGATGCCGAGCTCGTGCATCAGTTTGGTCGCCTCCACGAGTCCCGTCTCGCAGGGCAGGCCCCAGGAGCAGGCTCTGCTCATCAGGCGACAGTCGTCGAACGTGTAGTCGACCACCGGAACGCCCAGCGCCTCCGCCATCCTCGCACGAACGTTACTCGCGAACAGGCGCGGGTTCTCCTTCTCCTCTTCGCTCGGCACGTACACGGGCAGGTACTCGATCTCGCAGAAGGTGACGACCTGAGTCAGCGTCAGCCAGAGCACTACCCACGCACTCGGTCCTTCCCACGTCCACGTTACCGTATCGCAACGGTTCGGATAGCGCACCAAAACCGGCTGAACGGGCACGCCTGGGTAGAAGGCACCCGGTTTGAACTGAACCAGACACGAGCGGTTCGTGCAGGTGCCCTCGGGGAAGAGCAGCATCTGCGGCCAGTGGCCGCGGCTGCGCGCGCGCCGCTGGATCTCCCTGATGGTGTTCTGTCGGGAGTCGGGGTCCTCCCGGCGCACATACACCGGCTGCGTGTAGTCGGTCATCGTGCCCAGGAAAGGCAGCTCGATGGTCTCGCTGCGGCAGATGATGGACGGCAGACCGGAGCAGAACAGCACGATCGCGTCCACGAAGGAGGAGTGCGGCGCCGCCACCAGCACGGGTGCTTCGGGGGACAGGGTGCCGCGGACGCGCACCACAAAGCCGCTCAGGTAGAAGGCTGCGCGGGCGTTCAGCGCGTGCAGGCCGCGCATAATGCATCTCCAGCCGCGCAGAGGTTTGTCTCGGTGATCTTCTGCGATGCCCAAGAGGCTGATTGAAGCGAACACCCAGCCTATAAGCACGCACAGACACAGGCCCACCAACCGCAGTGGCACTACGAACACCGTCATCAGTGCCACTTTCAGCTTGTCTGGGATGGTGTCGAATGCATTAGTGCGGGTCACGAAGGGGTTGAGAACCCGGCGCTGGGCCACTGGTTCGTTTGCAGTACTCGGCGGGCGGCCACTGTCGTCAGACATGTTGCTGACAGGCTGAGCGAGGTAAGAGGTGTCCCCGATATGGAGTGCTGTTAGTTATACTGGTTGATTTTGCGACCGAATATTGGCGACTACTGAATGATTTAAGGATTGCATTTCTTCAATACTGATTTTAATTTTTTGACGCTTAATTTTATCATATTAGAGGGCAAAACATTGTTGGAGTGGTGTGCTGTAAATTTTAGATTGATTCACCGCCCGCAAAGCCGAAAGATGTGACTCGTAAGTAGCACGCAATGTAAGGGTCAACGACGTTGAATAGCTCGTGAAAAAGCAGTTAGAATATTTAGATATTCCTCCAACAACACAAAATTAAGGTCAACGTAGGTATAAGCTGATAAAGGTAAAGACAATTAAGGCAAGGTAAATATTATATTAGTTTCGACAGGTATACCTTTTCATTAATGATAGGTATATTGGAACTTCTCGTAGGGACTGTTAACAATGTATGCGCACGCCCTGTTCGAATGATGTTCGTTTTTAAGACTTAATTCGTGAGCTTAACCCATCAATGCCTTTCGGTGTGTTGTTAAAGAGCTTCTGAATTTTATTTCTCTTATCTTTAAACGGGATGGTCAATTTTACGCTCACTTGCATTGCAAATAATACGAAAATAATGTTTCTTTCAGCAGGTATATCTGTAAACTGGCACCAATTCATCTTTTCTGGAATCAGCTGACGCTGCTTTACCTCAAACAAACCAAGACACGGGTGAAAATCGATCGTTTTAGAGAGGAGAGCAAACAGCCCGTTTTAGCCATCCGTCACGGATATTAGATCTGTCAGAGATACTTACGAGTAGGGAAAGTGGGTGTGTCTGGTCGGATCCGTATTCAGGTAAGTGCTCCGTTCTGCGCCTCAAAACAGATTAGTCGAATGGTGTATTATTGCCTATCGATGTTATGTAAGAATCACGAACGGGCAAACTTCACTCGTTTTAGAGCTAACACAAGACAGCTCTCCAACATCGCTGTTGGCAGCCGTCACCGCATATTGCACATTATTTCTTCTACCGTCTACATTAACACATCTACATTATGTAGATGTGTTGCGTGGAGTTTTGCTAGACACCTGAAATATATTTTTATAACAAGGGGTTCTATCGACTTTTTCATTTCCTCGAAAGCACTGTCAGGTAAGCTTAAATTTAAATGTTAAAGGTAGTGTGCCAGCTTTCTTGGACCGTATGGAGTTAATGGCCCAGATAAAGAGAACCGGATTTTTAGAACTTATCCATACCTTCAAAACTCATGGAAACGTCTTAAATTCTTCAAATTTTGAGTACCCCAGTGCGAAATTCGCCCCGACGGGTTGTCGGTCGTACCCCAACCACATTTCACACCACTATGAACAATAAATGCACACACTGAAATCGCTATTACCGATATGCTCATCCAATCAAGTTTCGATAAACCCGTTTATCATCATCTCCTGCGGTTTCGAACACGCCTGTTAGGTGGCTTCTGATGCTCGTCGAGGTCGGAATTTCCAAATACGCGTGGTGCGTCGGGCCGCGCGCTCTGACTTCGGCCAAGAAAAATGCGTCAGCTGATCATTGTCATTTCTGCCACTTGCGTGTGGTGAAATGGGGTCATAACTTATAAGACGGCTTTTTCATATCAATTATTTTACATAAAATCATATTTCAAACCATAAATAATGTTCGACAGCCAAATAAAAGAAACAATACCAATACGGGCTTACAGTTTAAGGCTCGACATTGTGTTGTCTACGATTAGACAGCTGATAACTCATTCCCGTACGTCGTATGGTCGTAACACTATAATGACCTTTGCTTATTGTCACAAGTGCGCCGCATTCGCGATTGTTGCCCGACGCCTGTTTGCAGGTGAGCCCACTACAGTTGTTATACATTCTAAAAACCGAAAAACTTTTAGGCGAAAAAGGCACTATTCCAGGCCCATTTTTGATTTTTTTTTTTGCGATATTAGGTAAAAACAGAAGCTTCTTATCCTAGGAAAAATAAAATGGGAAATCTTTCAAAGGTGGCACACTACCTTTAAAATCGTGTTACATGATAATGCCGAGACATTTTCGATTGGACTTGTCTACAGCTCCAAAGTCCAAATCATGCATCAGTATTTTTCATCCATGTCGATTTTATCTGTGTATTTTTAGGTAGCTAACTGTCACACTCGCAGGTCAATGCAAAGGGCAGCTCGTGCATATTGCATAAGTGTCATGGCCTGTTGCTTCCTGCTTCATATGAAGTTCCTGGTTCGACCAGTCACGTCCCCCTCCCCCCCCCCCCCCCGTGATCCGTTCCGGGTCACGCCCGCTCAGAAGACGTGCTCCCTGATTGATTTCTTCCGTCGTGACCCCTGCTTCCGCCTCCAGCCTGGCCCCGGGGCCATCTCAGGCCACGATCGGGGACGGCCCGCGCGTCTCTCTTCCCTCCCATCCCGACAGTTTCCCACGGATAATGAGAAACGACCGTCTATAATGGCTACATTCCTCAGAATAGTAACCGGCCTGGTGGCGCGGCAGCCACATCGGGCGAAAGCTGCCTGTTGGATGGATTCGTCGCTGTTTGACACGGGCCGCCGCGGTGACCCCAGATCAGAGAGCCGCCGAGGCAGTCCGGGCGTCAGCTGCCGGCTCAGAGCCGTGCCCCGGGGCTCAGTCTCACTTTCGTACCGCAGCTCGGCTGCGGATTCAGCCATGTGTTGGAGTCGAATGAAACGGAATGGTTTTAAAGCGGCATCCACCAGCGGGGCGTGCGATCTTAAATCGTATGTTTGACGAATAATTTTGCGCTGTTGTTCGTTTGCAAATATGCAATAGCATTTAAGTTGTTTAAGAATTATTTTTAGATGCATGAGAAGCTTACAATGCTTCATATATTTTACAGATCAATGTAGGGGTGTTTATATTTTTTTTCTTGAAACATTTGTTTTGCAATTAAACAAAATTTAGGTAATACATAATTCTGTAAAAACGGACGTTTCTGCTTTTAAGTGTCCTTTAGGACATTACTAGAAGTAGAAACCAATAAGTTGTTAGGCCTTAAAACAAACACTCACGAAACCTGGTGATACCGGATGATGTCTAACCCCTCTTACGACATACCCAATAGCTCTGTACCTAATAGCATTAACCCTCGCCGGCACAGGCCATTTTGAGTCCTTCGACGGCACAAGGGGGGGGGGGGTACGACCCCCCCTCGCGTTTGGCCCCTGATCGAGCTAGAGCTTCGCGGAAAAAAACGAGCGTGTTGCCCGTCACGAGAGGAAGCCGATGATGCCCAATTTTTAGGTCCTAGGTCATCGGGTGACCTTCCAGGTCAGGTCAATGACCCGAAAACCGGGAAAATCGGGACCTGTTAGAAAGTCGTAAAGTGTGGCTGCTGTGTGGTTTTCCGGGGTGCTGATCACGAATATCGTGTTAGTTTTGATCAGAGATGATGTCTTTAAGCATTTAGACCAGGTCGGGTCAGGTCAGGTCAGGTCAACCGGTAGGGGTTGTGACGGGTATTCGTAAAACGTGTCAACCGCCTCGGACAGCTTCGTAACATGTTACGAAGGCACCAAAACTACTTCTTAAATGTTCAAATGGTTGCTAAATTCGAATTCAGCTCCAAAAACTAGCCTAGAAACATGTAAAACTCGAAAAAGTGAACCGAGGTCACCCGAGGTCACCAAAGGTCAATGACCTGACCTGACCTTCAGGTGACCTTGACACCCACCCTAATGCATGGGAGCAGCATCAAATCACATGTTTGAACGTTTGAAACCACGAAAAGCTTGCAAACGCGCGGCTAATGCGAGCCGACATGCGCCGAACCGCGATTTCGGCCAAACATGGTCACAGAAAAGAGGTCACAGGTCAAAGGTCATTGGGGTCAGGGTCATGAAATTTTCAGGGTAGGTGTAAAATTGATCAATGCGAGGGTACTGAAAGTTTCGTCGCGATCGGCCGCTTTTTACGCGAGTTATTCGCGAAAAACCTTAGGGGGGAGTTGCATCAACCCCCCCCCTGTGCCGGCGAGGGTTAAATGACATCGTTACCTACCATTGGGTACTGATATCCACTGATTTCATAATTATTTTGAGGTTAAAAAGACAAAACATAAAAAGAGATAATATTTAATCCGCAATCAGGCAGAGTCCATGCATCCTTATTCATTCATTCATTCATTCATTCATGCATTCATTCATGCATTCATTCATGCATTCATTCATGCATGCATGCATTCATTCATGCATTCATGCATTCATTCATTCATTCATTCATTCATTCATTCATTCATTCATTCATTCATTCATTCATTCATTCATTCATTCGTGGATTCATTCATTCATTCATTCATTCATTTATTCATTCATTCATTCATTTCTTCTCGTCCATATAATCAAAAATCATAATCATGCACTTGAAGTGCCATGCAAAAAATGTCATAGTTCAAAGTTTTGTTACAAGCTCGATACCAGTGGCGTATCCAGGGGGGAGGCCAAGAGGCCATGGCCTCCCCCTTTGGCATCAAACATGCAAGTGGGCCCTTTGGGTCACTTGAGTGCAGTGACGTAGGTACCCAAGGGGGGCCACGGGGGCCCCGAGGGGCCCCTGGTCACTTGAGGGGCCCCTGGTTATCTGAGGGGCCCTTGGCTACCTAAGGGGCCCCTGGTTATCTGACAGGCCCCTGGTTGTCTGAGGGGCCCCTGGTTATCTGAGGGGGCCCTGGTTACCTGAGGGGACCGTGGTTATCTGAAGGAGTCCTGGTTACCTGAGGGGCCCTGGCTATCTGAGGGGCCCCTGCGTTACCTAAGGGGCCCCTGGTTATCTGAGGGTCCCCTGATTACCTAAGGGGCCCGTAATTACCTGAGACCCCCTGGTTATCTGAGGGGCCCCTGGTTACCTGAGGGGCCCCTGGTTATCTAAGGGACCCCCAGCTACCTGAGGGGTCTCTGATCCCTTGGGTGGCCCCTGGCCAGTGTCCTGAAGAAACCCTGGTCGCCCAAGGG